GATACAACATGACAGCTGTTTAACAGTGCAATGCAGCACCGTGCAACAGTTCAAGAACTAGACTTTCAGATCACGTCTCTGGTGAAAGTGAAGTCTTTCCACTGAAATCCTGAGGGGCAATTGTCAGCTAGCACTTGCTCACATACCAAAGTCTCAGGTGGGCTTTTATCCATCATGTCTGTAGTGTCTGTTCAGCAATTGGGGTTGCATCCTCTAGAGGGCCTCCTACTTCTCATATGTGGAATCTCCTCTGACCCTTTGCCTCTAGGCAATACTTTTGATCCATTTCAGAGAGTAAGGTGCACATAATTTGTGCAATCATCATCATTTCAAATCTATCTATCTATCTATCCCATTCTATTCGAGCTAAAATTAGAAGAGTATAATGGAAGAGTATAATGCGTGAAAAAATTATTGGGGAAAATATAAATCAAAGAACTGCGTTTTGACTTTAGTCCTGATTGTGGTGAGGCCTCTAGTCATTTTTATCTCCTCTGCACATGAACTCCACAGACTAGGACAGCTTCTGTGAAATTTCTGTCACCCAAACTCACAAGCCCCTCTCAGTACTTGGCAGTTTTGTAGTATCTGTTCTGAGAGTTTGTGGTCAAGAAGGGAGAGAGATCTATGGCCTTGCATATCAGGACAGAGTCTTTGAACTGGACTCTGGATAATGTAGTGGGTTAATGCAGGGATCAGAATGCTAGAGAAATGCGAACACAAGTGATTGGTGATGCTATGAAGATGGACTACTGCATTTTATGTCAGGGCATGTAGCTTCAATCTTTGATTTAACATAAAAAACTAAGCCTAGAGTTCATGTATGTGTTGATTATTATGATCAGGTGAAATCTGGACAATATGAAATGCAGTCTTTTGCCTAGTCATAGGCAGAGGTAGGTATTTTTTGCTGTAACTATGATTTGGGCATTTAATAGTACAGAGGAGTCACAAAGGATCCCTAGGCTATGAACAAAGGATAGCTGATGTAGCTAGTTAGGCAATATGGGATGGTCAGATCTTTTAAATGTTTCACTCTCTTACTAGCCTAACTAGCCTTGCTTTGGTTCAGTTTTACCCTTTTGAATAGAAGAATTTACTCTCTCCTGGTTACTCAGTTCAGCATAGGACAAAGTCTTAATCAGGTTTTAAGATTTATTAATCTAGCCTTATTTTGTTTGACTTAATTTAATGGCTGGAAAGCACTTAGACAGATTAACTGAATATGTAGAGACATTGCTCTCTATATAATTAACAATGATATTAGTTTTACATTATAAACCTATTTATGCCTCATGTACTTCCTTTTCAAACACTTTGTTGGGACATACCCTTCTGCTTTTATGCCTTCCAAAGTACATGAGAAACATACAGGATTGCTAAGATTCTCTCCAAAGCTAGTGTTTCTTAAATGGAAAAAATTGCTGAATATGGCTGTAAAAATGTGACACCAATCACTCAGGGTGTGGGTGACAACATTTTGAAGCACTAAACAAGGTGTGCTATTCTGCTGTGGGTGACTCAGGCCTCCTACCCAGGATGCAGCAGTGGTAATAGAAAATGGCTTAGCTGTGTGATTTTGAGGTCCCTTAGACTTGAGCAGATTTGAGCCCTGCCTAGGTTCTGGAGTGCCTTTTTAGGATAATTTGGCCTCCACAATTCACAGTGACAGAACCTCCCCGCCACCCCAAGCCCCTCAAACCCTCTTGCAAAACAGTAGGCAAATGCCATTGGGCAAGTGTCAGGCCCAATACCCGCTGCTGCCTTTTGACTTTCACTGAAGGATTGTGGGGAGGAGGAAGCTGAAGAGTCACAGAAAGAAATCGTCTCTGAATACATTTGGATACCTTGCTATTCTTTTTATCTAGTATAGGACCACTGAGATGGGTGTAGGAGCCATTCCCCCTGCAGCTCTGGTTGCCTGAAACAGCCTTTGTGAATCTCTCCTCTTCACTGAGTCTCCATCTCCTTTTAAATTCTCATCTTAAAAGCTGACTTTTCTACCCTGCCTCTAGACCTCTTCATTTCTATCCCTCCTGGTTATTGGCCTTATGACTGAATGCTTTAATATTTTCACCATACAAGGTCTTTATGTTACTGTTTCATGTAATTTATACCTGTGAGCTGAACCCTTTCTCAGCCTGCTCTCAAGCACAGCCCACACACTGCGTAGAGTCCAACATCACCCCCCCCTTGCTTTGGGGTCTTTGCTTTTATTAACAAAGATATCAACAATAAGAAAACAACATTCAGCTGTTTCTAAGGGTTCTCTCCCTCGACTACTCAACCCACATCCTAGACTGTCTCTCCCCAGTGAGCCATTCTCATTTCCTTTTTATACAAGTGCACTAATAAGCCACCTTCCTCGGTGAGTCAGCAGAACCCACTTAACCCTTTCCTAGAAGGGTCACAACTTGCTAGCAGGGTTGCGTGTTTCAGTCCTGAAGACAAAGAACGGAGGGTCTTCAATAATTTAATTCTGTAACAGCCTTGGGATGCAGTTTAAATGAAACATGCTACAGCCTGTGTTGTATTATGTGAACTGAAACCAACCTCTAAACCACATGATGTTCACCTGTCTCAACATAAAATGCTGCCTATTATTTCTAGGGAAATGCTTTGTTGAGGAGGGCAGCCAATCACAGGGAGAAAAAGACAGTTTCAACAGAATCCAGTCTATGTTACTAACAGAGAACTCGGTCTTGGAAGGTGCTGAGCATATGACCCTGTTCCAGCAAAATTCTTAAGCAATGGTTTCTTTTGGCCACTCATAGTCCTGTTGGAGTCACTGGGACTACTCAAGTGCTTTCACTTGCAAGCTTTTCTAGAATGGGATCAGCATCCTGCAGATGCAAGATTGGATTAAGCTGTAAATGCAGAATACTGTAATGTATTAAGCAACTCCACCAGGGGAAATGGGAAGAGACAATAAACAAAGGACAGCACTATGCAGGCTAATTCTCAGGGCATGGGATTTTCTGGGCCAGATCCTCAACTGGTGTAAAGAGGTACTGCTACCAGCTGTGGATCTAACCTAGAAATAGTTTGGGATGTGGGGCTCCTCCCAACAAAAATAATGAGAGGTGAATCTGAGCTTGCATTTCCACTGCTTTAAAGGAATGTCTCACATGTGGTAATAAGCAGTCTGATTTATTAGAATGGACGTGCACTGTAAGCCTTGCAGCTCCACTGCAGAAGGCAAACTGAACACCTGAAGTGTTTGCAAAGCCATGTTCCTTATTTTTTTGAAAAATGTAGTCCAAGTTTCCTGTGAAGAAAACAAAACAAAACAAGAAATAAAATCTGTTCCTTCCTTTGTGGCCCTACATATGACAGTGTTCAGTCACTTGATTCTGAAACTCCCTCTTTCAATCAGGAAGCACTGAGCATCTCTCAGTTGCCCTGGTCCTGGTTGTCAGAAAGAAACACCTTTGTATTCGAAAGATGGAATAATGCCCACTCTGCAAGGGACAGATGAGTGAAATGATTCAAAAGGTTCTCCTGGGTTTTAAATAAGACAGACACAAAGGTTAGCATTACCTGTTCTTTAGATAGTTCCGCCGATGTGCATGGTACCATACAGTCATACTGGAAGACAAGGTCCCTGCCCTGTGGAGCTTACAAACTATAAGGGATAATTAACATATTGAGAAGTAACAAATGCATACCAATAGCAGTCTCTAAATATCATAGAGAGATGGGGAAGAGAAAATAAGAATATGGAAAGAGAACAATATTTATGGGAGAGGAATATTGCCATGATGATTCAGCTCTCCATTTGTTTCTGCCTTGTATTTATTTTTGTGAAGGTTATGATGGAGTTCTCTGGTGTTTCAAAATATAATTCACATGACAGAAGGAAGAGAGATTTCCAGAATGGTAACAGAAAGTTAGCTGAGGATGCTGTAAGGTGAGATTTGAAGGAGATATGGGAGGTTGACTGGTGACATGCTGTTTGACCATAGAGTAGTTCCTTGATGTGTCAGAGACATACAGGGTACATCTACATGAGACATTTTACTGCGCATTAGACTTATCTAATGTGCAGTAAAGCATCACTATCTACATGTGCACAACAATTACTGCGCACTAGATTTAATGCACTGTTTTCTAGTACCTACAGATATCTCAGTACCTCCATCTTTTCCCTGCCAGGAAAAAGGGTAAGACAGAATATGACTACACACATTGCAGACAGCCTCTGAAATGCACATGCGCAATATCAAATTGAATTTAGGACCTTTTGCTCCAAAATAGACCTCTGTCTCTCTAACTGTATCAGACTATCAACTAAAAGGCAGTCAGCAGTATTAAGGCATGTATTCTCTTGGAGACTTCTAGCCACTAGCAGGAGAGACACTAATCATATGAGAGTAGAGCCAGATCCATCTAGTGGAGGGCAGTGGTACTACATAAATAAATCATATAAAATGCAGAGAGAAGTGACATTTTTGCTGGCTCAAGCCCCTGAAAGTGCCGTACAGCCATGACCAAACACAAGTGCATGGATGCAGAATGCTTGCAAAGGGCCCAATTTTGTGACCTTCATTGCATGAAGGTTCAGTTGAAAATGCTCCAAAATGGAATGCCCTCAGTGACTTCTGTCCGTGCACACTGGGAACAGGGCTGAGCTGTGTCACCTGCTCCCGGCACTGTCTTCAGATTGGGAGGGGGAAAAGGGAATGGAAGGAGTTCAGTTTGGAGGTTTTTTTAGCTGGCACTGGAGAGAGGGGTGGGGTGGGTGGATTGGAGTCCCCTCCACCTTGGGGCGGATGACTCCAATCCACCTGCCCCACCCTTCAGCACTGGCTGGGCAACCCCCAGAATGAGCTCCCTCTGCTCCCTTTCCCTCCTCCCATCCTGAAAACAGTGCTGGGCCTGGGAGAGGGGGAGGGGGGTTGCTAAGGGAGTGTGGCTGCAGGCTTGCAGCAGCTGTAAACAGCAGTTTAATCTCCCAGCCCCTGGGACCCAATGACTAACACCTGTTGGGTCTGGGGGATCATTGTAACTCATGGTGCTTCCTGCAAAGCACTATGAGTTACAACAGGGAGCTGCTCTTCTGTCTGCACCTTTGCAGCAGGGGTGTCAAACCCACAGAGCAGGGGATCAGACCCACAGACTGGCCCTACATATTGGAGCCAGCATGTAGGGCAGTCTGACATTGGTAGCTTATATAGCTCATGCCCTGGACCAACTCTGCAAGCTGTATGCAATACATGCTGGCACCAATCCAGAGCTCACGTGCAGAGCCAGCATGGGGTGTGTGCTGTGAGGTGACCACGCTGGACCAGCCTTGTGTGCTGGCTCTGGTGCATGGGGCCTGTAAGAGGGAGCCAGAGTTTCCTCTTACTTTAAGGGATACTGCAACAGGCTAAGCTGGCTGTGTGGGGGCCAGCAGCTAGGAAGCAGACTAGCTACTAGAGAGCTAGTTGTCAGAAAGCAGGCAGGCCCCCACAACAGGATGTGGGCTACCCCTTGGGAGTGACTGGCTCAGGAGCTAGCTGCAAAGAAGCAAGCTGTGCAGGGGGCAGACATCTAGGCAGCCCAGAAATAAAGAGATAAAAGCAGCCTGTAGCCATGCAGAGCTAAGCAGCAGCAGAGAAGGTTAGGTTCATCATCAGGTCAAAATGGAAACCCCTGTAGGTGACTGGAAGGTCATCTGACATGAAGGGATGGGGTGATGGAGGCACATAAGGCCAGGCAGGCAGGCAGTTTGGCCCTGCAGGCATCAGGGAGAGGGGCCCCTGAGCAGGATGGCTGCAGAGAGGGACTGGCCGGCACCCAGGCTGTCCCCAAGAGATGCAAATTGAGAGTTAAAGGGGACTTATAGTCTGCAGGGAAGTTATTGACCCAGTGTGGGGAGAGTTTTTTTGTTATACAGCCAGTGGGCTTGCATTTATGTTCTGATTAAGAACTGGAGGGCCAGGTTGTGGCTATAGGGGCGATCTGGCTGGGCACTTGGTAGTAGGCAGCCTAGTTGGATGTCAGGGACCTAGAGGGCAGAAAGCTGTGCAAGAGCCACAGTTGGTGTGAGAGGGCCAGGGGTCCAGAGAGTGGAAGGCTGGTGCCAGAGCAGTCCTAGGCCAGGACAGCCAAAGCCTGGAGGGGAATTAGGGCCAGGGTCCCAGAAACCTGAGCGACGCTTGGCAGGGCCAGGGGTTTGGCAGGCTAATAGGAGAGCAACAGGTGGGCCAGAGGGCCCAGTGGATAATTTAAGGTACCACCTGTGAGGCATGGGCATGGCTGTAGGGGCAGTAGGAGACCACAAATAGCTCTTAAGCTAACTGGTGCCCTGAGGCACTGATGGGGCCGAGGGGGGACCCTGTTTAGGGCTTGAAAGACAAGACTGGAAGTCAGTCAGGTACGGGAGGGATCAGCTGGCCAAAGTAGGCTTGGGCTCTCTCTGTGATTCTAGGGCAGTCTCTCTTCTACAATAAATTAATTCCATCAAGGCATGACAGATGAAAGGAAAAGAGAGGGTACCCTGAGGATCTAGAGTGGGGCACAAGCTGCTTAGCCACCAGGCGGTGTCATAGCCACCCTGGGGCCTGGTCCAGGTAAGTGGGCCTAGTATACGGGCCCGATCTGGACTGGCCTCAGAGCCAGTGCACAGGACAAGGCTGGTGGGGTTCTGTATACAGGCCGCAACCTGAATTGGTAACATGCACTGGCTCCATCCCTGCACCCCACATGCATGTGCCAGCATTGGTTCAGGATTTGCATTGCATGCACAGCTGGCATGGGCTGCTTGCTGCATGCAGCATCCATGCTAGACTGACCCTGTATTCTGGCTCTGGTGAGCAGGGATGGTCTGGGAACCGAGCTGATCCTGGAACCAGCAAGCAGTGTGGGCAGTATATGTAGTATGTGCCAGACTGGCTCTATACACTGTAAGTGGCACACAGGACCAGAGCCAGTGCATACCATATGTAGCACACAAGGTCAGTCTGAGACCCACAGGCCAGATCCTCAGTCTCCATGGACCCCCCCAGGCTGTATCTTTGATACCCTTGATTTAGAACATTAAATTCTAGAGGAAGAATACCTTCTTGTCACTGTATTGGTTATATCAGTTCTCCCGCATAGGCATTGAGATCCACCCTAGATGTGTTCATTTTAAAAAGGGACAGACTATCAAGCACTGCATTCAGAATGTTTCTGTATGCTCCTTTCAGTAACATACATCAGTAACATTTGGTACAGTCTTCTTTTGCTTTCACAATCATTTCCCTCTCCTATTAAGTGACCAACCAGGATTGCCCACTTTGCCATTTTTGCTGACATTCATGACATTGGTGGGGGTAAAAAAAGGTGGGCTTCTGCTAAATAAGAAAATGGGTATTAATAAGAAATTATCAGTAACAGCAAAGCTATTAGGAGAAGAACCTACATTTTCAAAGGAAGGTTGTACATTATCTCTCCTACTTCCAATTTAAATGAAAGTAGAAAAAAATGCTGGAGCAGCTCTTTAGTGAATCTAGAAACTTGATATAATCAAAATGGCTTTGGACCAAAGTCTTGATTTGTGGGCACTATCCTACAGGGCATAATGGCATTACCTGCATTTGCTAATAAAATATTCTTCAGATGCAAGTAGCTCCTTATGCTTTTTATACCTATACTGATCACTGAGCACAAGCTGCTTCTTTTCAGCAAGCCACAAATACTTCCAGTGCTTGACCTCCTCCTACCAAGGCTGTTGGTTAAAGAGAAATAAATGCTTGCAGGACATTAGCAATGTTCTGCCAGCCATGTAGTATGATCCACAAATGTAATGGTGAATGATTCAGGTGATAGCTGGGTCTGGGACTCCTGAATAGAAAGCTCTCCCCCTTTCCCCAGAGTTGGGATTCGATTACAGTCCACCTAGAATCTTCAAAATCTTATCCTTGATCATTCTTCTCTCCTTCGCCGGAGCTTTGCCTGAGTTTCTTCCAGCCTGTTTCTCCAGGCAGCAATAATGGCATCATCATCCATTTCCTCTTCCTCTTCCTTGCGGGTGCTGTGCCGGTACTGTGAGGATCTCCTTGATGCAAACCTCTCCTCACTTTTTTCCACTTTCTCTTCTTTCTCTCCATCCTCCTCAGACTTTGAAAAACTTTGGGTGAACTTTCTCTTTGCTCCAAATTCAGACATATCTGTCCTGGACTCTTCTTCAGATTCTTCAACATGTTGGGATCTGAATCGACTGTGTGCTGATGCTTCAGGAGATTCAGAGTCAGAGGATGGTTCAGGTGTTTTTCTGAAAAAATATGGCTCTGGGCTTTCTTCCCTGGAACTTGTCTCACTAACCTTTGATCGGGTGAACTTGTACATTTCCTTATCCTTTTCTGCAGAGACAGAGGAAAATCTTGATGTGGTTCTCAGTGAATCACCATTAGACTCAGAGGAAGAAAAACTGTCCAGTTTTGCTCTTTGGGATCTGGAGAATCTGTAGCTGGATGATTCTGATTCAGAGTTTACCTGCCTAACAGTGGAGGATCTGTTGTGTTTCTCACCAGCCTTCTCACTCTGGGTATGATGTGATGGTCTTTCTTCTTCTTTCAGGTCATTGAGCCACTTGCTAACATTCATCTCTGTCTCTGAATTTATGGCACCAGTATTTGCATATTGACCGGAGAAAGCAGAAGTGGTATGATTTCTGTCAATATCTGTTTGCAAGGGGTATCTAACATTGCCTAGTGTGCTTTCTGTGTCATCTTTTACTTTCTCTTCTTCATCTTCCCCCTTGTCCTTTTTCTTTTTAAATAAAGTGCTGCGTTTGTTGTCTCTGACAAGCTTTTCAATTTGATAATCTGACATTTTCTCCCTCATCTCCATTTGCATCTCCTTCTCCTTCTGGCTGAGTTTCTTCAGGTCAACATCATCTGCGAAAAGACTGAACAATGGCTTGCTTGTCTGTGTCACTCGTGAGCTGGACCCTTCTGTCCTTGCGCTCATTGAGGTGTTGCAAGACAGGACAGACTGGGTATCAGCACAGCGCATGTCCCGCTGGCGGAGTAGTGAACCAGCTAGAGATGAGCCACTCTGTGCACTAAGGAGGGAGATCTTGTCATCATCTAGGTGCCTGCCAAAATCACCTGACTTCATGCTGGAAGCCATTTCAGAGGGTGGGCGGGACAGCATCAGTATCTCACTTTGTTTCTGAGCAATGGTTTCACTAACCACATTGGCAATCCAGTTCTGAATACTTGCCATGGATATTGTATCACTTGGGCCAGCTTGGAGGTTAGGTAAAGGTATAACTGGCATTTGGGGCTGCATGGCCCCAGTGCTGCTTCTGGTCTGAGATAAAGGTGGGAGGTTACTCTGCACACTTAGTGCAGAAGCTGAATCATCAGCACCACTTATGGAAGGTGTTGAAGGCCAAAAAGCTGACAGTGGGATACTGCCACTCATTGCGCTCTCTGCTTCCCAGCTGCACAGGGACTGGCTTTCTTCCAGGACCTTCTTTGAATGTTCAAGCAGCTCCGCTCGCCTCTGCTTCTTTTTAGCTGAGGCAGAATCTTCGCCCTTGGCAAGCTCCACAATCTCATTCTTGTTTTCACTGCCGACCTTTTTCTGGTGTTTCATTTTCCAGGCCTGGTAAGCAGTCAGGTTAACATCTGACAGACTCTTCTCCTCTGTGGCCTCCTCACCTGGCTGGCTGCCCTCTTCCACTTTGGGGCGTTCGGATGATTCAAGGTCCTTCTTGTGAAAGCCAAACTGGATTCTCTTGATCTTCCATCTTTCAAGAGGAGTCAGCTTGTCTTTGTTCTTTTGGCAGAAGTTATAGAAGGAGCTGGTGTCTGAGAACACACTTTCCTCATCCACGTCCCTGACCTTTCCTCCTGGCCCTTGTTCTGGACTGTCCTCACAACTTTTATTCCTAGAGCAATATCGCTGAGCTGCTTCTTTCTCAATCTCTAGTAGCCTTTGGTTCCACATGTCCCAGGTGCTCTCTGTAGACACAGAGTCTGTGCGGCCCCTTGTCATCCTTTTGATGCCACTGGCTTCCAGTTGTTGCTTCAAGATTTGGATGTCGAGGCTGCTCACGCTCTCAGAGTCGCTGAATTCACTTGAATGATAGGGTCTTCCTCCCATGCTACAGTCTTCATCCTCCCTCTTGGGTGGACAATTACCTTCCACTTGGTATTTCTCATTTCTGCACTGCCACTCTTGGATCATTCTCTCCACATCCTCCTCAGATTCTTCCCCAGCCTGGTCTGGAAGCCTCAGAGGTTTTCTTTCTTCCTCCTTGTTTGGTAGCTCCCTTGCAGGCAAGCCTTGATTTTTTCTCCACTCCTCATACAGCTGTTCCTCCTCTTCCTCACTGATGAGAGTAGGCTGCTTGGAAGCCAAACTTGATTTTCCCAAGGATGAGGAGCTCAGAACACTTCCGAGGATGCTGGTGGTATCTTCTTCCTCCACTGTGATGGAGTGCACTTTGGCTCCCATGACACTTCCAGAGTCCTCTGCCCCAGACGGCAGGGAACAAGCCCCTGCTCGGATGACTGAACTCTGGCTAGCGGTGTCATCCTCACCAGCAGCATCCTCCTCCTCTCGCTCCTCCAGCAGCTGCTCATTGAGGTCCCTAAGCTGTTTCAAAAAGCCATCATTGGGGTAAATAGCACGCTTCTTTCTCAGGGTCATCAAGGCCTCCAAGATGGTCATGTGGTGATAGATCATCAGGTAAGCAGCCACCAGCACAGCTGAGCGACTGATTCCCATTTCACTGCTCACCAGGATTTTACCTACAGGTTTCAAACATAATGATAGTCAATGGCTTTCAGTGGCATAGCGAGGTTATTCTGAAATGCATACACAAATTTAATCTGTAGCACATTGAAGTCCATGGGACTCTTGACGTCAGTGGATTTTGAATTAGACTAAACCTACGTATTTGTCTGCCTATTTTCTTGGTTTCTTCTTTTTTTTTTTTAAATTGCCATAATTAAAGTGTAGGCAACTAAGATGCCAAAAGTTAGCAGGCTGATATACGCCAAGAGGAGTGGTTGTCACATGTCAGAATAAGATAAATTTATTTTCTGTGCTGTAGCAGTTGGAAGGGGACAAACCCCCAATAATTAGATTCTATATATGGAAAATTTATGAATGTGTTATAATTTTCTGGGTATCGCATCTACTTATTTGGGAGTAATTTTATAATTAAGATTATCTTCTATTCAAGTGAATACAGTAATACATTTCCTCAGAGAGTCTCAAAGTACTTTACAAACATTAGTGAGTTGAGCCTTACAACCCAGCTGACTGTTGTATGACCTTGGATCAGTCACAGAATCATGGAAAAGCAGAGCTGGAAGGTCATCTAGTTCAACCCCCTGCTTGAAAGTTACTTAACTGACCTGTGTCTCAGTTTTCCCATATGTGCAATGGGGATATTAATACCAGTCTCAATGTTAACGATGATGGATCTTAATACCAGTGGGCAAATATATTAATTACTTAATTTTTATAAATTGCTTTGAGAGACTTAGATAAAATGCTAAGTTATCTTATATATTTTCCAGGAGACAGCTCTGGTGTGTTAGGTCTACTGCAAGTCAGAACTAATGAGCTATCAGGGTTATATTGGTTCTCAGGAATGGAATAGCCAGGTCACTGGCTGGTATAGCTGAGGTTTCCATAGTAAAAACTAGTTTAACTTGTTCAAAAGACTGGGCACGCATAGATTTGTAACACTACATAACATGCCCTATACTCAGTCTTCTTGTATGTGACTTATTACATGGTATTTGCCACAGAATGCACCTGTTACTGCAGAACTGTGCTTCAGAGCTATTATTATTAATAGCCTGTTCTTTCTTTCCATTATCACATTTTCTCACATTGAATGCACCCTGGAATATAATACACACCTTGTTTTTGAAAGGCTAAATTGTCTTTTTCTAGAGTTTTCTAGATTTTTCTAGAGTTATGGCTGCATAGAGCAGGAACAGAGCCTAAGTTTCAGCTCACTCATCCTCCTTTTCCTGTTTAACTAAAGCTGGCTGCAGCTGCAGACTGGTCCCCATGGGTGGATCTATGATTCTGAAAAGAACTAAAGAATCTCCAAGACTGTGAAATAAGAGAAGAAAGACCAGGAGTAGCTAGCACACAACAACATTAGTTCGATTAATGGAAAACCAAAAACTTTAAAAAGAAGAGACAATCAATACACTTGTGGAGTGAAGAACAATGAACCAGTAAGTCATCTGACTCCCTTAGCTGCCTGAATAGTAATGCAACAGCTGTTGCATCACGGAGCAAGAATCAAAACAAGGTGTTTCTATCCTGGGCAGAAAATCAGCTTGACCACTTAATATATGCACCCCAATTTTGGGTGTCGATTTGCGGGGAAAAAGGTACATGTTTTATGTGAGAATATATGATACTTTCATACCTTTTTATACTTAAAATTAAATTTTCCAAGCATAGCATGAGCATCAAGAAAGCACAGCTTTCTATCTGACAACCTGAAACTGTAATTCTTAAATGTTTATATATCTGAGTATCAACATGCTGTTTATGTGAATGTGCTGATCACGCTGAAACCTAAGGAGGCCACCAATTTAAATGTCAGTGCCTCACTGCTGATATTTACCAGAAACATTAAATTAATATGCCTAGTTCTGCAATCCCTAACTGCCTCATACACTTAACTGAGTCCCCAAGTAACTTCTTACCTCAGCTGCCAAAACTTCCACCTTCCCCTAATGAATCAACATAATAATAAATTATCTACGTAAAATAAGCAGCACATTCAAAATGAAAGTGCAGAATAAAATTAAGTGAATCAAATGGGAAAATAAATAATACAAGGGATACCATCTAACTGATTGTATTATTCCTTTTCATGTTTAATTCTATAATGATCTCTTTTTTTAATTTTAGCCAGAGCTTCTACAGAATTTCCAATTTGCTACACTGGAGTTCCAAGCAAACAATGGTGGGGACTGCTGTAGAATTTCAGTCTAAAAGACTATGCAGAGGCCTTGACTATAATCACCCGGAAATGTGTCCTCTCTTATGTCTAATTGCTTTGGTCATCCTAATAATACACTGGTCCCTACAGTGGTCTTGTGGTAGATAACTTTGCAAAGATGAGTATCTCAGGACGCAGAGACTTAGATAGCCTGGACCAGGGTTTGTATTGTTGCTTGAAATAGGCTCAAGAGGCAAACTCATCACAGGGGTTGGGTGAAGATGTCTTGTAGCAGACTCAGTTCCAGGGGGGTGGGCTCTCACTAATGGCCAGCTCTAGACCAATTCTTTCTGCCCTCATTTGCCCTCCCTCTTCTGATCCATTTTTGACCTGTCTCACTTTGGAATGCCCATCAGCCATAAGCCTGTGGAATTAACCAGGATCCCTTATGTCTGCATCTGCACTGGAGCCACTTGGTAACTACAGATCTTTCTCTGAATGTTCCCTGTGATGCCAGCCCCATCTATGGATTTTGAAGTGTTCATGAACTAATTCACTCTTTTATTCCTACCTCTGTAAGTCAGCAATGCTTCATCGAGGAATTCTGCAGCCTGGTGGAAGTGTTTGGAGATGTCCATATCTGGGAAATCATCCACCTCAATGCCCAGGTACTGGATATTCAAGCCATTGTAGAAATCTGACCCTGTGTACACACCAGTACCATGAGCTGCATTTAGGATGTGGGTGATGCCAAGTCTCTTCAGACGGCCTTTGTTCACTGCGACACTCCTTCAGAAGAGAAATAGGGACTTTAGACTTTGGCTCCTCTTTGAGGAACAGGGGAGAGTCAGTCCACTAGCAGCCATCAGAAAATTTCCAGCCTGCTACCCTAGTGTATACACACCCTTACCCAATCACCTGCTCCTTTTCTGGTTGCCCAAGACTTCTTCAGATTTTTCTCTGCAATGTTCACTGGGCTGCTAAAGTGTTAAACCTGTCCTCCCTGCATCTTAACAGGTCCGCCTTCTCTTCCAGCTTGGTTGCCACTCACCCTGTCCTCCTGGGCTCATGCAGTTCTGTTATTTCTTTGTTTTAATCACCTTGTGACTGACCTCATACCATCCTCTCCCCTTCTAGCATCTTTTCTGCACAGGTCCCGTGGACAGCAGAGCCGTAAAACAGAAGCTGTTGCTGCTTGTACTCCATAAATTACATGTTTCTTTCCTCTTTTAAAAAACAGAGGAGCTAGTTCTCATGTCTGGGCCAAATTCCAACTAGATAATTTAATTTTTCCCATCTTTTCTCTGGGGGTTTAATCAGA